AATTTTCAGATAAAAGAGAATACCAGGTTAATGCACCCTTGGTGAGTGTTTCTCCAAATTTCTTGACCAGTACTGATTTAATTTCTTGTTTGGTCAAGTCATTGCCTTTCACGCCTGTTGTAAATGCAGTTATGTGCTCACGTGGGTCTGTTGTGCCATCATAANGCATCTCTTTTGGCCATCGTACCTTATCTCTCATGCTCCTCAAAACAGCTACGAGCTCGGAGGTGGTGACATTAAAGTTATATCCGCCGAACCTTGCTTTTAAACTTTNAACGAGGATTCTCCAATGTATTATTATTAGGTGTAGGTGTGGGTGGTGCAACAGGTAATCGACTTACTAGAGTNGGAGCAGCACTTGGTTTCCAAGGTTGTTGTGAGTATTTATCCACATCCACTCCTTTAATTACAGAGGGAACTCCAGGGATTTGCTCGATGCGCTCATTTTGTTCCTTGNGATCATATCGTTGACTATCCTGCTTTGACTGTGAGTATTTCCCTGCAGGTCCCATATATGGATCGTACCTGTTTTTACCTGATCTTTTTTCGGTTTCTGATCTCGTGGAATTGCTCCTTTCTTCATGACNGGTTTCCCAAGGTGTTTTCACTGTTATTGTTGTTTGACATGATGATAACAATGGCTGGAATGTAGCTTAAAAGAGAAGATTATCATATTCCTNCAGGAAACTCTCGAAGGCTTTCTTTAAGTCTTCTCGTGGCTTCTGAGCTTTTGTCATTTAAGTTACTTGCAAAAGCTATTTNAAAGACTTTTGAGAATAATAAAGTAATAAGTAATTTTGTATTTCAGTGTAATCTCAATAATATTTCTTGTCCTTACAGATGTTGAGTCCTTCTCCTTTTATAGTTGATTCTAGGAGAAGATGTAATGCATTTGTCTTAATGAGGCAATTATGAGCAATAAATGACATTAAAAGAAACGTTACACAATCATTTCTATTTAATTCAAATTCTCTAACGTATTTGATATTTAATGTTGTATTTAGACTTTTTTACGTCATCAGATTCGTATCTTCAACTCCTTCCGATCTTCGGTCTTTAAATGACTCGAATAGGTACGAGACTCGTACCTATTTGAGTAACGGTCCACACCTAGGTTGTTTTCTTCTCCTCATATCTGTTGTCTCCCGTGCCTCTTGGCTATTTATTGTGTTTTGACCTTTTGACCATTTCATGTGTCATGACACGTCATCTTCAATATTTAGATTCAGTTTTTTTCCAATACATATACATCAGCTAATTGTATTTTCATACACTTGCTCTTCTCTTTCTCTCAGAAGAATCACTAGGTCAAATACACTAGTTTCAATATTAAAAAGGAAACCGAGAAATTAGTGCAGTATTCCATTAAAAAAATCCATTTTATGACTAATTGATGTCTATATTTTCCAGCTATTAAAAAAAGTCAAACCACCACTTGTAGTTCATGTGGTTTTTTCTTGGGAATTACATCAATTGTTAAAAACAAAAGCAAACAACAAGATCTGCAACTAACCTAGATTTTGCTTCTTACAGAAACCATGGTAGAAACAGTTTTCAAGTCAGTTCAAGAACTGGCAAACAGCAATCAAATTCCAGAAAAGTATATTCATAATCAAGGCTCAATCAATACATTTCCTCCACTGCTGGATGTGCCAGATGTTGATCTTAGTCTTATCATTTCATCATCCCATTCCCCCGCCCGAGAACAAGAGCTCAACAAACTTCAATCAGGTCTCAGGTCTTGTGGCTGCTTCCAGGTCTGACTTTGGGTACTTAAGTATTTATTATTTGATCCATATCCCGACATAAAGAAGTCCAACGGGAGCAATATTTGAAACGGCAATCCATAAAAAAGAACACCAATAATAAGATCGGCTAGAACAAGGTGATTATCTATGGTCTAGATCAACTTAGGCTAGAACAAGGTGATTATCTTGACGTAGGTCTGTCTCTAGCCTACATTAACCTAAGTTAAATGAAGTCTGTATATCGTTATGCTTAAAACATCATTATTTGGGATCATTACCAAAGCGTTTCAGGGGTGAAATTATCTTGACATAGGTCTGTCTCTGGCCTGAAATGTGGAACCATATATCGAAATCTGAGTGTTTTTGGATTTTTTATTTTATTTTATTAAGTTCAACTAATTTCATTGTTAGCAATGTTATCACAGTTGACCACAATATGTTTTTTGTTTAATAGTAGCATTTTCTAATCTTGGAAATGTTTTTTCCCTTGGCTTGTGATTGACAGAAAGGAAAGTAGAACTCAAACTTAAGAGGATAAAAAAAAAGTGAATGAAACTGTGGAAAACAAAATTATAGTAAAAGTTACTGCATCTAAGATAGTAAAAGAAAAAAATCGTTACCAGGGGATGATATCAAAGTAGTAAAAAGAAGAAGATATGAATGTCAATGAGAAGAGGCAGTACTTAAATCATAATTGTAAGCTATCTATGTGTTCTCTGTACTATTGGTTGTAATATCCGTTTAATAGTAACATATGTATGGGGTAATATTTGAAATTCAGGTCATAAATCATGGAATAGCAGATTCATTTCTTGACAGAGTGCGCGATATTAGCAAACAGTTCTTCGCTCTTCCAACTGAAGAGAAGCTTAAATATGCTAGAACAGTTGATGACATTGAAGGATACGGAAATGATTCAGTTCTTTCAGAAAACCAAACACTTGATTGGACCGACAGATTGTATCTAAATGTGATGCCTAAAGACATAAGGAAACTCCAATTCTGGCCAGAAAAACCTGAATGTTTTAGGTATATGTTCTCACCTTTTACTCTGAAATGAGGAAATTAGAAGCATAGGGCTAATAAGATTACCTTACTTGGCAGGGAAGTTTTTGAAGAATATATCAAGAATATGAAGTTGTTGAGTGAGTCCCTCCTAAAGGCCATAGCGACGTCATTGAACTTGGAGGAGAACTGCTTTCTGGACCAGTGTGGAGAGCGAGGAATGATGGTTGCACGATTCAACTTCTATCCTCCATGCCCAAGGCCTGATGTTGTACTCGGAGTCAAACCACATGCCGATGGATCAGCCATTACCCTCCTGTTGCAAGACAAAGAAGTTGAAGGGCTTCAGGTTCTAAAAGATGATCAATGGTTTAGAGTGCCCGTTGTCCCATACGGTATCCTAATTAATGTTGGAGATCAAGTTGAGGTATATCCATCTTTGGGACAGAGTTGTCAAATCTCAAATATTGTACAGCACGTAAAATTCTCAGAGTTGTTGTTTCCTTGCAGATAATGAGCAATGGAATTTTCAAGAGCCCTGTGCACAGGGTGGTGACGAACACAGAAAGAGAAAGAAACACTCTTGCTGTTTTCATTATGCCAGATGTAGATGTTGAGATTGGACCAGTGGAGAAGCTTATCAATGAGGAAAGGCCAAGACTGTACAAGAACATTAAGAATTTTGTTGAACTCTTCTTCCAAAACTATCAGCGCGGGAGAAGACCTATAGAAGCAGCAATGATATGCCAAGAACTCGATAGCTGATAACAAAAAGCTAAGAGAGCATCAATTTCAGTTCCTTCTTTTTTGATTTGTATTTTAATTCGTAATTTCTTCAACATTGTCTCATGTAACTTCTGTTTAGTACCACTTTCTTTCAATAATAGAAGTATGAGTTTAAGTTACATACACCTGCAGTATAAGGAATTTTTGCACTATCAGGTCACCCAAAGGATATTTACATGTAAGTCTCCTTAAAATATGAGATTTATAATCTTGAAAAAAAGGTAGGTTATTTGCTACAACATGTAAGGTGACCAGATGATGTAAAAGTTCTTACACTAATAGTGTATATAACTTAAACTCTAGAAGTATATATTTCTCTCCAAGTCCAGCCTGTAGCAGCTTGAATCTTGTTCGCCCTGGAAAATGGAGACACTGCAACTTCCTTCTTCTGAATGTTAGTATTTATTTCTCTCCAAATTCAACCTGCACTGAAATGAAGATAAAGAGGAGTTAGAGTAGTTGAATCTTGTTCACCATGGAAATTGGTGAAAGTATGAGTATTTTTCCCTGAATTGGGATACATTTACAGACCAAAAGTTTCTGTCCACTTGCTCCTGCAATTTACCTAGAAATTGTGGAATAACCGAAAGACTCTTGCATAAGGTAGAGGTGATGATATCGTACCATGATACCAATAATACTAGTTACATAGTACATTTCACAGCCTCTGGGTTTTGGTCAGATAAGCAATTAGATGTAGCACTTCATCTGTTAGGTACCTTTGGAATTCTATTGCTGAAAGCGTATAAGGGCAAGAGGTTGTTTATTCTTACATCACTATAAGGTACAAATGTACAAAATTTGAACAAACGCTTTTATTGTTATTTACACCTGCCTAATTCAAAACTTGGATCTGCTTAAAACTAGCATATGTATATATCATCGTACATTTAAGATAAATATTCAGGAGAAGAAATCAACGTCTTCTTGGTTTGTGACCTCGTCCCTTCTCGTCACTCAACAATCTCATGGAATAAGTACAATTCATTGATTGAGGACTCCTTCTTGAATCCTCATAAGGTTGTTGAAACCCAATATTTTCCACAGCACCAACCGTCTTGAACAATCGTCTCTTGTGCACTTCCTCCACCAATGTCTTGTGCAGCAACTGGCTGCGCATATCCACTAAGGACTTGTTCCTTGTTAGTCTACGCGCATCAACTTTGTCCTTTTCTTTAGAAGTGGAAGAAGTTCCTTTTAATTTTAGCATATCTTTGCACTGCTTGTAGCACATTTTTGCTAAAGACTGCCCGGTGCTTGAGTTTTCCCCGGGACAAAACCGGGAAGTATGGTGGCTAATTGCAGTAGCTGGCTGACTTTGTTTTGTAGAGGTTGTCACGGGATCATTCTCATCATCAGAGAAGTAATTGAAGTTGGAATAATTTGCAGAGTGCGATGAGCTTTGAGAGCTGGTGTCATCAAACATATCGCCTGCAAGAGTAGTTGATGACTTGGTCAGATGTAATAAAAAAGTTAAACTTCAATCAAAGAAGCAGTTAAATGGTCGATCGAAATAATAAGGCCAAGTAAAATGCAGTGACAAACATATAAACAATCACCTCTTGTTTTTTTTTCAGGGTCGAAAAATGTAGAAATGATGCTAGCACTTTATTATAACTCCACTAATATATGTGGTTTATTCTCATCAATCCAAACTATTGTTCAAGTTAATTAAACAAAATCTGCGGACAATAAAGCAAAGACGACGTTCGTGGAATTGGTAATAACACTAGATTAGATGAATCATAATACCATGAAGCCAATGAGGATCATTGGTGTTTGTGTCAATCACTTGAGAGGAGAGCAGACCTGACAATGACACTTGAGAAGATGAGCAAGATGAGAAACCTTGGAAAGGGTTATGGTGATCATTATCGTCGTCTTTATAGCTTAGCACCTGGTAATCGGCAGATTCAAACTGATTCCATTTCTTCCACTGAGGTACCAGGCCAGATATCTCTCCATCGATCATATTAGCTATTTCATGCGGCTTCCAGTCTGTTATATCTAATTCCTTCACCATTTCATTTGCAACCTCCGTGGGGGTGTCAGTTACTATGTCAAACGGGAAATACACATTCCTAACATCACCTACATGGATAAATTGTGACAACTTTAGCCTCATTTGTTGGACCGAGTTGCAAAGCATAAATACTTCAAAAACAAAGCTGAGGTCATAGGAAATGGAAATTTGATACAGATGAAGAGCAGCAAATACCTTCATTATCCGCAATCTGCACCTTAATTAAAATGGTATCGTCTTCAGGATTCAATTTCCCCGTGATGGTCATATTAGTCCTTGGAGCGTCGTCATTCAAGTGGAGGTCCTCGATAGCAATTTTATCATTCAAGAAAGGCTTTTGAAGTTGCATCATTGTCACCGACTTACCATCAATATTATCTAATGCAAGAAATGGATCAACCATTAGTTCTTTAGCTGATAATCTTTTTGATGCTGGCTCCAAGCATTTCCTAATAAACCTTTGTGCATCCAGATCTTGGACTTTATAAAATGCCCTAGGCCTCTTACCCTGAGTGAGGCGAAAAAGATAATCATGTAAATTTCTGATTGACTGACAAAACTTTCGAAAAGATCTTATTAAGAGAGAGAGAGAGAGAGAGAGACAGCATCTTACAGAGGTCACTTTCTTGTATATTTGTGCGGGGTTAACACATTCACTGTATGGATATTCACCAGTAAGCATCTCTAACATGCACATGCCAAATGAATATACATCAACTAGCTCATTATAGTTCTCCTCGTATAGTTCCGGTGCCATGAACTCAGGTGTCCCTATTGCAATGAACAGAAATAATAAACAGTCAAGTATAAAATGTGGAATGTTTTACAAAACAATAATGCACCTCAGATCTGATTGAATTTTATATAGAGAAAAGTCTCAAATTCAAGGCCAGTCTAGATAAAATTGACTTCGGAAGACCACAGAGCTTAAGGGTAGCCCGATGGACTAACCTCCCGCTATGTGCAGGATCCGGGGAAGGGCCAGACAACAGAGCTTGATTCACCAAAATTCATTTCCGGCTACATATTAAGGTGTGATGAGATATTTGGCTACACAGGAGATGAATAACAGATTGACCACAAAGATTCCAGCACGGAAAAAGGGAATTGGGAGATGAAGTACCTATAACACTGTGCGCTCTCTGTGATCCACGAAGAATTGCAGCTAAGCCCAGGTCCCCAACCTTCACTTGTCCAAGATGACCGTTAACAAATATGTTATCACACTTCAGGTCTCGATGGATCACTGGAGGATCATGTTCGTGTAAATAAACAAGACCTTCCAGTATTTGGCGTGCCCAATTCTTTATAGCTCGAATATCAACTCGCTGATACTTCTTTCTGTATCTGCATTCAATCAAATGATCAGTGATTTTCTTATCTTGTATAATAGCTTTACCAATAAATCAAAATCAACCAGCGGAAATGGTACATCCATGTATCCCTATCAGCAAATCCGCCACAGATATTTAAGTCAAGTGTAGATTGATCCTCCTGATCCCCTTTTAGTTAATTACAATGCTCACCAGAAACTCATATCTTAAATTCTTTGTTTTTTTTCCCATAAGACATTACAGAGGCAAGGTGTCAGATCCTTTATAGGATTCCCTTAATTCTTTTATTTTCTCTATCCCTAGCATCTATGCTACAACCTAAAGAGAAAAAAATTCAATTAGTATTTCAAAAACTAATATGACCGTACTCGAAATTGGAACCTTTAAGTCCAAGGCCCTCACACGCGGCCTCAAGCCCGCTTTAACAAAATCCCGCTAGGTTGCAAATTAGGTGCAACACTAACCAGTAATGGATCTAGACTAGATGCAGTGTATTCGACAGAACTCACTTCGTCTAGCTCGAACTCTATATGTGCGTATGTAAAAAAATTGGCACATATATAAAGAGTAGAACCCAAGGGCAGCCCAGTGCACTAAGCTGCCCTATGCGCACGGTCCGAGGAAGGGCCGGATCACAATGGTCTATTGTACGCAGTCTTACCCTGCATTTCTGCAAGAGGATGTTTCCACGGCTCGAACCCATGACCTCCTGGTCACAACAACTTTACCTGTTACGTCAAGGCTCCCCTCCAAAGAGTAGAACTCACATACTCTAAATTTCGTATTCGTCACTGCGTTTAACTTGCCAGATACAGACCATAAATATTAACCATTCTTGAAAAAAGCAAAACAAGGAAGAGAGCATTACCCTCGGAGAGTACCGGAAGTGAACATCTCGGTAATGAAATTAAAGGTCCTGTGTTCAACATCAATCCAAGAAGTATAGAATCTCATGATAGAATGATGATTGAGAGTGCTAAGCAGATGAACTTCAGAGTAAAGCCTCTCCATATCCTCTGGTGAATGAAGCAAATCATTTAATTTAATTTGGTTCCATGCCATTTCCATACCTAGCAACTCATCAATTGCTCTATACACTGTTTTCATTGCCCCTTTTCCCAAAACTTCCTCGAACTGTCCGCCCATGCATTAAAATCCAAACATCAAACATAATCAAGAATCACACATAATTTACTCTACTCACACAAAAATAGTAACTTTCTCTGTTCCTATTTATGAAACTCAACAAATCAAGAATTGCACATGCATAATTGATCAACCAAATTACAACAATAACAACAAACCACAAGTAGGGTAATGTGTACGCATACTTTACCCCTACCCGGGAGACCCGGGAGGGGAAAGAGACTATTTTCGATACCCCTACCCGGGAGACCCGGGAGGGGAAAGAGGCTATTTTCGATAGACCCTCGGCTAGAGAGTAGATGAAAAGCCAAATTACTATCATCAAAAGCATTTTAAGGATTATACCATGCAACAAAAAGGCAAAAAGATTGAAGCTTTAAAAGAAATACTAATTGACTCAACTTACAATAATTTACAACAAGAATTGTACATGCATAATTGATCAACTACATACTGTCATAAAACCATTTTAAATCTCATAACATGCAATAAAAAAGTAAAAAGATTGAAGCTTTAAAAGGAAAAACTAAGGTTAAAAAGTACTTACACGTCCATAACGACCAGTAGGGTCAATTTCAACATATCTAAGATCATCCTGTGATTCTTTACTGTGTTCTGAAAATCTTCCCTTATACATATTGAATTGATTCTTCCAAGAGTTTTAGTAAATCAAGAAAGTTGGTATTAGTTGAAACTTGAAAAGGGAAAATAATTACTCTTTTTTTTTTCTTTTTTTTTTTTGTGATCTACTTATAAAAGAGTTACGTGGGTAGCTAAAAGTTTTGTAGTTTATGACTAAGTAAAAGAGGTGTTTTGTATTCTGTATATAATAATTAAATCCCAGGATGTTTCAGAGAAGAAACAAAGAGAAGACAAAAGAGTTTTGAGAAGTAGTAATTGTTGGCAAACATTTGATTGAGAAATGAGACAAATGTGATAGGTGAGTGTATTCTGATTTGACAGCAAGAATAGCACAAGTGAAAATGCTGGTACATAAGTTAGAACCAGTAGGGTCAGATTATTTTCTTTCTTTTTTTTTGGTTGGGAAATGATAAAAAGGTGAGATTTTATTGGCCAAGAATTGGATTTTCTCGAGGGAAAATAGGAAGAAAAAACATATAATTTAATTAGAGGACAAATTTGGTGACTCTAGGGACCTGGTGAGAGAGAAAAAGAGTGACAAAAAGGAATATAGGAAAGGCCAAATCTTTAGGTTAGATTTTTATTTTTATTTTTTATGAAGTGATAAAATGACTAAGGTGATATTTTGAAAAGATGAAATGACTGAGGTGGTGGACACAAGCATGAGATAGCTACATTTAAGGATGAGAAGATTAGAGGCAACTTTTAATATGGAGAAAAAATACAAGAATTTTAAAATTTATATGTACCAAATATTTAAAGAACTTAGAATTATCGATCTCTATTGGGATGAGACATTACCTTCTTCGTCTTAGAACGAAGAGGAAGCCTAAACCAAGCAGAAGTGCGATGTGTTTGAACACTCGAAATTATAAATTAATTCAGGTAGCATTTTAAGGGTTTTTTCGTAATTTTTTCTTAAGATAAAATTACTATGAACGATATAAACAAACTTTTTTTAAAAAAAATGGCTTTCACTCTATGAATACAAGTATACAACATCCATTTTCAAGGAGTTGGGGCCGGAGAAATTGGCACTTGACAACTTGACTTCACTAATGTATAGTTATATGCATAAGTTGAATAGACTAGTTTTGAAAACATTACTACAATTTGTAGTAACTAACAAGACAATTATGATATTATCAATAAAATGAGATGAGAAGTAGGTGAGATTGAGGCACACCTTCATTTATTTAATACTCGTGTGGCATCATAGACCAATTAATTGTCAAACTAGATACACCCCGTTATGAAATTGCAAAATGCACCAATAAAAGTTGTGGTGGAGGGATAAATACTCCTTCATTCTTAATCAGAATTCGAGCTCTAGGTATGGAGAGTCACCTTTGTTAGGGAGCATTTGTCCCTCCACCCCTCCCCCCAATATGGAACTTTTCGCCGCTATGTACGGGTAAAATCAAGGGCAAAAATTTCTCTTATTCCCCGATGAGAGAACGAAGGGAAAGCCCGGATCGGCGTGATTATAATCGAGGCCAGAAACCCCTCATATCAAGACCTAGGTAGAATGAACAATATATCCGACATCGGATATGGTAAAACAATGTATCCCAAACCGAGAGTAACTTCTAGACCTCGTGAGACACGGTAAACGGTTACGCATGACAGATAGGGGGCCATAATATTCTCCCTCAACTGGATATTACTCTTCGAATCTCATTCACTATCGGTTATGGATCAATAATTATTGAAAGAAGAAGATTTTATTTAATTTTTATAACCGTGGTGTCCGGGCCAACTTCCGATGCACCTCGACTAATTCCATGGGATAGCTGACACCAGGGGCGGATTTAGGGGGGCGGATCCGAACCCCCTTCGCCGGAAAATTACATTGTATATATAAGGCAAATCTGTTTTTTACCTCTATACATTAAGTTTTGAACTCCCTTAACACAACCTAAAAGTGTAGTTTAGTGGTCAAGGGGGTTCAAAACCTTCATAAGGTCATAAGTTTAATTTCCACTAGCTACAAAAAAAATTGAACCTCCTTCGTAGAGATACTACTACCTCCCACCAACACAAGTACTAGATAATTCTATCTACTAAGGGTTAGATAGATGAGCTGCACAATATTAAACCATTCCAGTTCGAAAAAATAGACAAATCTTTAGGTTAGATTTTTTATTTATTTTATGAAGTGATAAAATGACTAAGGTGGTATTTTGAAAATATGAAATGAGTAAGGTGGTGGACTCAACTCAAGCCTGAGATAGGTACATTTAAGGATGAGAAGATTAGAAGCAATTATGAATATGCGAGAAAAAAATACAAGATTTTAAAATTTATGCGTACCAAGTACTATAAAGAACTTAGAATTGTGGATCTCTATTGATATGAGTTATCGCCTTTTGCGTCTTAGAATGGAGAGGAAGCCTCAACCAAGCAAAAGTGCAATATGTCTGGAAACTCAAAATTATAAATTGATTCAAGTACCATTCTAATGACTTTTTCATAATCTTTTCTTTAAGTAAAACTACCGTGAGCGATATAAACTTAAACTTCATTTTTGTAAATGGCTTTCACTTATATTATATTGTCACGATCCAAAATCTCTCCGAATTAGTCGTGATAGCACCTAGTCTTTAGAACTAGGTAGGTCTAACACATACTGAAAGGTAACGATTTCTATTAGCAACTATTGAACATGAACCACGAACTTCTAATAAAACCAATGATAGTTTATATGAGTCCGCCAAACTATAGAGTACCGGGTCCTCTATGAGTTTCCACTGAGAATACTAATAAAATAGTAAGTAAATAAGACATGGAGTTTTTACGTGGAAAAATCTCTGCTCAAGGGAATAAAAATCACGACCTACACTGGTAGGATTTCAATTTCACTATGAGCAATTTTAGATTACAACCTATGCAATCTAGGAATTAAACTCTTAATCCCTCACTAACTTGTAATACACATATTACAAGCCACTTTGCAATATACCTATTACAAAGACTTCAACTCATGACTAACTCTAGTCATGACATAAACACAAAGGTTTATGGTTTTACAAAGGGGTTCCTAGGCAACGCTTCTAGCTAAGCAATTTAGCAATTACAATGAAGAACAATTACAAAGTTACAACTCAACTAAGGACAACAAAATACTAGATTTAGGAACTGGTCCGTAGTAGCATTAAACTTTGTTCTTGAGGTACTTGAGAATTGAATTCGCTGTCTCAAAAGGCTTGAATGCTTGAAGTGAATTCTCAAGTGTTCAAGTGATATTTTTGTTGTAATACTCTTGTCAATACACTTTTGATGACATCACTTGAATGATGTAAGCACTTGGTTGGTCAAAGGACAAGTGACTGCAGAACTGTGCTGCACTATGTGCAACTGTTTCTGTGGTAGTCACTTTTCAACTGTACACAGTTGACTTTCGTACTGCTGACAGGACACACAAGGGATCAGGCCCCTGTGTTGGTTCTCTGTCTTTTATAGTTGCAGCAGTTCACATTAACTGGAGTCCGTTGATTAGCAATATATACCAAGTGTATCACGTTCCCGATCTGGTTCTTGACAATAAGTTTGTTAGATCATCAAAACATAAGGCTAAGACATTGAAAACCAATCAATTTTTTCCTTTTTGATAATGACAAACTTAGACATTGATAACATATTTTTAGAGCAAAAATAACGAGATAAAGCAACAGAAACTTCACAAGTTTTCCCTGACTTTATGCTTCCCCCTTAATCAGATCCCTGTTTCAATTATACTTCCCCTTTTTGGCATCATTAAAAATACACAAGCAGGCAATCAGCATAAAGAAGTCTAGCCTAGCTAACTCATGCCACATATGTGCACACAACATGATAGAAAAGAGAAATAGAGAACATAAGCATTTAGATAGCAAAAGAGGATAGTTTTTATATATAAAACATATATCTTTGCTTATAAAGCAAAGCCAAAGATTGGACAGTTGACATCGGGAGCATTACATATACATCCCATCCACATCAAAACAAAAACAACTGCCAAGTCATTCAAACAAGAACAGAAAATCCAGAAACTAGTCACTGAAATGGTTGCTTAGGGGGCACTAGGAGTAGAGGGCTTGGAAGCTGCAGCAAGGGTTTGGAGAACTAGGTCTATTCGGGCATTCGCCGACTTTTGCTCGGTAGCAGTTCTGCTTTCAGGTTCTCCACTTGTGCCCTGAGATCAGCATTTTGTTTTTGTAAGCACGTGATTTTTGCCCTATGAGAGAATTACTCCCAAAAAATTCAAAATAAAGCAATTTTCCTTTGTGTGCAATTTTTTAGAATTTTCGTGGCATTTTCAATAATTATTTGTATTTGTCCATGCATGTTTATTTGTTAAATTAATAAAAAATACAAAAATATGTCGCATTTGCATTTAGGATTTAATTCTACAATTAGGAGCAATTAAGTTTGTTTTACAAAAAAAAAATCATAAAAATAATGTACGTTGCATTTTTAGCGTTTAATGTCCAAATTGTGTGATTTTATCGTAATTGCTATTTAATTATGTGTTAATTGTTATTGAGAATTAATTTGCACTTTTATAAATTAATTTAGTTCTATAGGATAATTTAGGATTTTTAGAATTTAGTTTTAGTTTAAGAAAAAAAAAAGCAATGGAAATAAGAAGAAAATCGGATTGGGCCACCTTTTAATTTAAATCAACCAGGCCCA